CTGCAGAACTATCACTTTCACTATCTTAACTATAATCATCATCTTCACTACTATCATCTATGTTACTTTTATTGTTATCGTCATGATTGATATATTATTAACATTAATGACATTCTAGTTTTGCTCAAAACGTAATTTCAGGTTGTGTAACACTGAAAATGCTACCTATGGCTACTTAAGCGTTCTCAAAACTAATGACCATTCCTCGCAATAGACACCGAAAACGTTGCTTGATTTGTCCAAATAATCTCCTATTGTGTTATTGTACTGTCACTCCACGTCGTCTTGTGGATTAAGAATTGGTGTTAACTTATTTACATATATGTATGAAGTAAAAGCATAACTTCGATCACCAAGCAAAATGCCAATTACTGATCAATTTTAAAATTGTTCCTTCATATACTTTCATTCCAAATTATTGAATCGTGTGAACTTCCTCTCCGGCTAGAAATTATATGCAATATATGGAAATGTACACCACAAATTACCTAAATTATTAATTATTATCAGCATTATTATTATTTATTAAACATATAAGGTATAATTTTATCATGATTTTAACTGTATATTTTATAAATTTGATTATTTTAATACAATACATGTTCTATGACTTACTTGAACATTTACTGAATGAAAGCGTTTCTATTAATGTACAATTGAGCATAGTCACCCTCCACCTTTTTGATTCGTATATGTGTAGAATATATATCGCACCAATTATCGAAGCCATATTAAATACTCTAAATACTTTTGACTCTTCATTGAGGTCAATGGTAATTTAATAAAATAATTTTATTAATGATGCTAGTGCTCTACAAACTTGACTCGCACATCGACTAACACCATGTAAATCGCAATTGTCGTCCTGAACCTTATTTCGTAATAATATGGGTACCTACTTCAATTTGTTATAAATTCATGAATAAACTATTACTCTAAACATAACCAATAATTACTTATTTTCTAGCTAAATAACGAAGTGAAATCAAAAATTATAAGCTCGGCGAAATTGGTTTTCCCCGATTGATAACTGCTCGAGGTAAGTCACGAATTTTGTGTACGATATGTAAGCATTTTGCTTTCGAAAATCGATATTTTTGGGAAATTAAATATTGGAAATTCATTACATGGATTCTTACAAATTTTGTATACTTTCCGTTGTCTAAAAAGCAAATTTCTTAAATTCCTTACGTGTCCAACATTTTGTACATTAGCAATATCCATTTTCTTAAGTATAAAATGCATAAGTATTTAAAACATAAATTAATTAAATTAAATAATAATAAGACAACAGTTTTTTTTATAGTAGACCAGCTTTAAACTTAGTGTTTGGCCTAGTTTATAGATCGAAGATTTATCGTTAAACTCAGTCTATGGTCTAAGTAAAGTTAAGTGTTAACGTCTGTAAATACAAAAAAAAAATTAAGTATTGTTAAACCAGATCCAATTTGACCACGAATAACACGTTTTTATCTTATCTAGATAAATAAATATAAGTTATTTAAGTATGTATTTTAGCTAAAGATTTTCTTTTTTAGATAAATTCAAAAGATTATTTTTTTGTGAAAATTAGATAGATCTGTTCAAGAAAATTTCATTTTTATTCTCACTGTCTCAGGCATAACTTGTACGTAATAAATTGGGCTAAAAATATTTGACGTTATTCTGAAAAGGCTATTAATTATTCCTATTTAGTACTTAATACTTAATAGTTATTACTGTAAAGACCGGATTTATATGCATTTAAAATTTTAAAATATGCATACAAACATGCACTAAAAAAAGTCAAAATATGCTAGAAAAAGATGCAAAATTAAATTTCAGTTTTTATTACATGTTATATTTGATTTTAATTTTGCAGTAATAATTATTTATTAGTTTTATTTACATTTTCATAAACAAAAAGTAAGTGTATAATATAAAAAATATGTAATAAAACAATATAATTTGTTAAATTTTAATTTAATTTGTAATCATTGATACATTGTAAAAAAAATAAATAATAGATACATTGGTGATATAGTTATATAAATAGGAAAAAAGTACGAACAATTTAATGTAGTATGTTAATTGGAAAAACAATAACCTAACCTACTTTTAGCGCCCGACTATTCTTTGAGATGTAAAATATTTCATATTAATATCATATAAATGTACCTATAATCTCTTCTTTATGTTTGCTCAGCAAATTTTTTGATAGTTAGGTGTATATTTGTACGATTTTTTGATAAAATATGCAAAAATATGCAAAACATGCACTAAAGTCAGAATATGCAAGAATATGCACTATAAAGTTTTGATATTTAATCAATCAAGTAATGATTTATGGAAACTCATTGACTGCATGTCTATGATGTTGAAAATAGCAACATGCGTTTTGTGCAAAATCTGGTATTTAGTTGTTAGTAATCAATATTCTGAACTCGGTTATAAATATATATAAAATATACTAATTAGTTTATATAAGTATCCAAATATTACTGTTGTTTGTCGAGATCGGTGTTATTTCCCAGAATTGTATGAATATTTCAAAATTATAATTAAAATACGAATAATCGTCCGCCAAACAAAATTCTATTGAATTGAATATAATTATATAATTATATTGTTACTACCAGCCGTTTATTCTTTATGCATTCACCATACGTTCATCTGAAATTAATATAAATAATAAATAATATATAATTCACATTAACTTATTGACATACCTTAATATTCATGATAATTGATAAGTCTGACGAGCTAATACATGATTAGTGATTACTAATAATATATTACGGGTGTTATGTTTTATAATACAAATCTATGGCGTATATGAACTACCTATTCTGTAAACCAATTTTAATATGCACATAAAGTGATAAAGTAGGTATAAAAATAATAAACATTTGATGTAGGTACCCAATACTCGTAAATATCGACGAAAGTAAACATATTATACAGACATGTACTTACATGACACTACATATATATTTTTTTTAAATAGTTATTTAATTTTAATTTCTTTAATTATCTGTAATTTATCTAGATAAAATATTTGTATCTTTTATCTGTAGTTTATGATTATACAGATGATTATTTTGTTATCTGTCCCCAACACTGCCGGTCATTGATATGATTTGCCTGGTTGTACTTGACAATAAATATGTTAATGCTTTCATGAATACTTATACTACTTATATACCCCCAAAAATTGAGTGGATTTGTAAAAGAGTATTCTTTCAAACATCCTTTTTTTAAAGTGTTGTGTGGGTGAGTATATTTGGGTTGTTTCTAATAATTGCAACCGATAGATTATTTTTATTTTTTTAATATTTTTATTATAGGTACCTAGTATTTGGTATAATGTAATATCATTAATAATTAATATGTGAACACAGTATAAGGTTTAATGATTTATAATTATATTTTATCCTTATTATAACAAATTTTTTTGTTAAAAGTGAAATCTTTGTTGTTGTTAGTTATTGAAAGAAGATATTATTTTCGTAAAAAAAAATATTGTCAGAAGGTTCCTCGGAAATAACTAATAATTTGTTTTTGTACAGCTAGTTTTTGTAAAGAATTTTGTGTATACTTGTTAATTTTGTTTAAATGTAAATATTATGGTAATGGTTGAGCTGTAATAATTTAAATATTGTTTGTTAGTAAATTTAAAATAAAATGTAGTAATATAAGTTTATATTATTTTTGTTATAGAAATTATTATGAATCATTTTAGTAGAAACGTCTAATATTTTAGATATTAAGATTATTTAAGATATTTAAAATCAAATATTTTTGTTGTGATTTCCCAATGAGTACCTAATATCATATTTAAGTTGGATTAATGATTTATTCCTATATTAATTGTTAGTGAAATTGTTTAAAGTCGTTATTATTTTAGTATAACTGCAGTGACAACGATACCTATAGTATAATAAAAATATGAAGTGTAGGTAACATACAGTAAGTTATAAGAAATATATAATTAACATAATATTTATAGAGAAAGTATGTATAATTGGTGTATCTTTAAAACGTGTTTCTAAATAGGTACCAAGACAAAGGATTAATTAATTGTAAAATATGGTTGTATACTTGTATACATAAACTTGCAAAACATAAATTCAAAGTCATAAACAAAAATACATAAAATATTTTAGTAAGTACGTATTAACTTATTATTTCAACTAAAATATGTTTCATATTCTTAGGGCCAGTTGTACCATCTCCGATTAAAGTTAACCGAAGTTATTTTTTTTTAGAATTTGGCCGGTTATAAAATCTATTATCAGCTGATTAAGTGCAATAGAAGTGTAACGGTAGACTGTACAACTGGCTCTAAACGTCTAAAAAAAATAATTAATTAACCATTTATATTTCGTATTCATAACTTAATGCATGTTTTGTTGTTATTAACATAGATAATACATTGATGCCACTTTATTTTTGCCGTCGCAAACTGATAACAAAAACAATTTTTAATTTTTTGTATAATATGGTTGTACATATATGAATAGTCGATAATTGATATAGATATATAGGTACTTTTTTGGCCTCAATTGGAATCATTGATCACCGCTGATAATACGTTATGTCTTTATTATCTATAGTTATTAATTAGAATATAATATTAATTTCAACCAACAACCAGTTTGTTTTCCATGTTGGTATAACATTTGAACTAACAACTTAAAATTACAGATATTAATTCATTATTAATGTGACGGATTAATAAAAGTTTTTAGCTGTACAACGTCGATAGTAATAAAGTAACCAGTGGATTCGTAAAAGGAAAAAAAAATATTAAATAGGTAATTTACAAGTACGAAATAAGTACCTATAATATATTATACCTTATCTATCTACTATTTTATACGATCGCCGTATTGAAAAGAGAAGGGGACTACTATAACAAACGATACAGTTACTTAGCAGGAAGAGAATCGCTGAAGTAGGTTACAATGTAAAGCCGTTACAGGTAGAGGGTTTGGAATATAGTAGTAAAAGTAGGACGATGACTATAAACGCACTTGGAATGCAGACGACCAGTTTAGTCGTACCAGTAATCGTACCACGTCGCAGTGTGTGGTTTGTCTTCTTGTAGAAGTCGCCTCTCGTAAAAAACTATTGCTCGTACATCCAGGTAAGAAAAATTCTAAATATATTTAACTTATTTTATTAAGATTACTCTTCTGGTTTCGTTTCAATTTCACACTGATTAATTTTTTCACAACGCTTGAGTCAAATTCATAATTTATTTAAATACTAAAATACCAACTATTTATAGAAAAATGTTACTCACAAATAATATTGATATTCGTTTAGGTATAATATATAGGTATTGTACCCGTACAATTTATTTTCAACATTTATTTTACAAATCATCTTACGAAAATAAAACAATCAGTTAAACAATAATAAAGATCCGAAATATCAAACCATGGGTAACATTATAGTTTGTTATTTCATTGTCTGTTCTAGTATAAGCTATATTGCTTCCCAAAAATAATATAAAATCTTAGAATATAAAATGTACGTCAAATAAATCCTATTTTAAATAAAAATGTACAACATTCAATCTTTCTAACATGCCTAAGTGCTCAAAAATTATCCGAATTCTGAAATGTTTTATTACAAACTTTTCTCGTTGTTGATTCATTTAGTGTACATTAAAGTGTACCTACATACCTACCTAAAGGCATATTTCTATTAAACAAGAATCAAATCACAAATTATTCTATGTTTTACAATAATTGTTAGTATAAATTCGTAATAAAAATAACTTAACACAAGCTTTGCTATTTATAATTCGCAAAAAAAGTTATTACTATCAATATTAAATATTTTGTACACGTCCACATTTGGTAAAGAAAAATATTAAAACATTTCAGTTACCATGGTAGGTATAAATAGGGACTTCTTAAATTATTTATTTCATTAAATTTCAAAGCAAATTTTATTTTTAGTAGATTTTTTATACTTTTTATCATGCAGACTTAATAATTCCGTCTTAAATATAAAACTGGCCCACACAAAAAAAATATCGATAGTATAATAATATGTATATTGGACATAGCAGTACAACGTACGAGTCAATGACCTGCTGCAAAATAATGTTTTATTATGAACGCGGAAAACATTTTAAAAAAAAACATATCTAAAATGGGAAAACGCAATATAGTAACTATAGTTAAATAAAGTATAAATAAACTATAGTTTAACTGTTAAACTATATATATACGGTGTATATTATTTTAATAAAACTTACGTGGAGAAATAGTATCTATCTACTTAAATTTAAATTGTTTTTCATAGAATAAAATGAATACAAATAAGATATTTTATATTTTGTGCAGTGTAAGTCTACACTTTTTTATTATAAACCTACTTATATTTGACGAAATTTTTTTTTTTTAATTTCACATGGTCATTATTATAACATCACACTTCCTTGTATTATCATGGGTTTTATGATGGTTTAATTAGAAGTAAATTATAACTAGTATAATGTTACAATTTAAAAATGCCCAAAATTCGCTAAAAATTTAAAATATCGTAAAAAAGTACAGATTAACTTTTTTTATCTTTAGGTTTAATAATAGGCAAATTACTCTTTTATTAAAGATTACTACCCAAAAATATGGTAACTGATGAATTCAAATTTGTTATGTTGGTTCATAAGACATTAAGGACCGTTTCAAACTCACGCGTTTTTCGATGATTTAAAATTCGTACACGCCAACGGCACAATGGCACGATGGTGCGTATGGCTCCAAGCCGTCACCGTCTTGTCAGAACTTAAATAATGCAAATCGAAAAACTCGCAGATGATACGTATAGGTACCATTATCACGGCTGTGAAAAAAGCCTATGACAACACAACCTGTGTTCTCTTAATTTACTTAATTTTTTTTAAAACTGGTACAATTTAAAACATCTTAATGCACTTTAATACATGATGATTAATTCATATGTTATGGACATTTTTAAGGACATTAAAAATGTTATAATTTTTTGGCTCGTTAATAATTGGTAGGTATTTTTTAAGTTATACCTTTGTCTTATGTTTGGTATTTTATGTTTAGTATGTAAAATTGATACTAATTGGTAAAATCAATTGAATATAATTTTTAAAAATAAATACATCAGTTAGATGTGTGTTTCAACAGTCGACATTCGGTATATTATAAAAAATATCACTTAGGATAAGCTAACAAACCAAAAACAAATTGTTGGAAAAAATATGTACCCATTATATAACCCATGATGTATACCTAAGTTCATAAATCATCTACTAAAAACACCTATATCAGTCTTAACTCAATTTATAATTATCACTTCAAATTATGTTTTTCTTTTCAAAATATGAAATTAAAAACATATTATTATGTCTTATTCTAAAAATTAGACTGAGTTCTAAATTTTATTTTGAGGTGGGTGACCATAGGTACTATTCATAATAAATTCTAAAAGCCATCTATTGGTTAAATGGTTGAGCTGTTAAAACTATGTTATCTTTATTATATTGAGCTCCAAGTCCAACAACAATAATATAGTAACACAAATTACAATTAATAGGTGCATATAAATTATACCTGTAATAATGCAGAAACGAGCATTTTGAAGTAAAATTAAAAATGATATGCATTTTAATGTAGAGGCGCCGAAACGCGCAATTTTGTGGAAAATAAAACTTTGTTTAAATTAATTTATTAATCTATCTTGATTCGTATTTATAATTTACAGAACTTACAATAAAATGTTACAATTTCATAATTATCCAGTCTTTAGTTGGGTAGATGGGAATTTTAATTATAAGCGCATGCCTGTATAATTCATGTGTGAGTCATGTAACATTATAATGTTATATTATTTAATATATTTAACTGTTTTATTACATTCAATTTAAATGGTATGAAAGTCTTTTTTAATTTTTATTTTCAATGGAGGAAGTTCTCGACTTCCGTGCCATGGATACCACGAGTAACACTTCTATAGCAATGTTTTGTAGTTAATCACCGAAAGGTTTTTAAATTGTATTAAATTATTGATATTTATACCTAGCTAATTTATTTGTGTTATGTTACTATTTAATACCTACATAATAGAGATAATTTTAAATGTAGAACAGTCATTTAAAATTGTAAACTCATAAACTGGTTAAAAAATAAGTTTATGTTGTCAATAAGTTATGATGATTAAAAATATTAATATTAATCAAAACCTTGACGAAATTGAAACTTTTCACCATTAATTGTATTTTCATCACTTATGTTATATTTTCAAAGTATTAAGAATAATTTTTGGCTATTATACCACGATGCTATTCACGCCATTCTAATGTAATATTAGCTTATGCAACGCTTTTGGCAAAAATTAGTTCAACAAAAAGAACCTCACAAATATTTAAAAAAAACACAAAACACATAACACAAGCGATCAATTTTTGATAAAATTCGTAAAAATCCCGAACATTTTCAGATTATTTTTGAGTTCAAAATCTTATAGTATTCAATATTTATAGCCAAGCCTGGAAAATGTAATACAAGGTTCTTCGTAGATCTTAATGAAACCTACAAATCTAAAAAGAAATATCCACATTTTTTTAAAATATTTATTTCACTTTTGGGTTCAAATTATGCGGGATATTTCAACTTACAGATAAATAATTATAGTTACATTGTAATTCAAAAATATAATTCAGGGAATTTAAAATTTTTACTTAAATTATTATATTTTTCTACTATGATATTTTCTGAATTCATTTTGAAATTAATTATAAGCTATTTATACATTTATATATTCACACCATTATACAGTAAGTCAGTATTGATTTAAAAGTTAATAGGTAGTTATAATAAATATTAATAAAATTATATCTGATATAAAATAGATAGGTGTATTATATAATATTATAATAATCAAAAATAGAATGAAGCTAAGTTTTTCGAAAATTTAGTTCTACTGACCATACACATCATTAATCAGTGACTAGATACACTCGTCACCTACCTACTGTACAGTAGAACGGTTACTTACTTGACGAATTTTTCTTGTTATACCTACTTATACTAACTTAAAAAATGATTTTGTTTTTATTTATTATATAATATATTTGTTGGCAATTTCTGCAAAGTTATAACACAACCTCTTTCGAAAAAAAAGCTGTATGTTAACTGGCAGTATGAGTAATAGTAAAAGCCAATAGGTATAAATAAATTATTAAATTGGTATCCTGTATCCTTAAAAATAGAAGTTGATACTCCACATCGTTTGTTTTTTTTTAATTTGCAACATTATTTTAATCAAAACGGGCCTGCAAATTTCACCTTTTTCTCAGTTTTTCCATTCGTTTAGTGAAACTCTAACGACTTACTGTGAAAACAGAAGTATAGGCTATTTGAAGAACCAGCTATATGATATTTCTGATTGGTATCGGCGCAGAGTAGTTCCTACTTTTATTATAAATAAATTATTCATTAAAAAATAAGAATAAAAACAAATTGAATTAACATTAAATATGTATGTGTATCACATATTAATTATTAATTGTACCTAATTTTTAATTTTATCCATGCCTATCATAGTAATGTAAATAATATAATATTTTTTTTATGAACAGATCATCACATTGAGAAAAATAGATTTAAAACTTGTGTGTAAAAGTATTTGCAACATTTTAGAACTTTTATTATTTACTAAATGTGTAGGTATGCGAACTGAATTAAAGTAATATATAACATTTTAAATATGGGTGTTGGTTAAAAATACTAATATAAAAAAATTAGTATATTTTAATAATGTTGGTGAACATTATAATTCATAACTATTGTTATTTTTATTACATATAATAATAATAGAAGTTTTCGATAAGTATTGATTAAACCGAGCTCCGCAATAAAATCATTTTCAAATTCGACGATTTATGTCGTTATTTGCATTTTTGTCTATTCTTGGATTCAAATTTATAATATTAGTAAATTACTATTCTGCATAAAGTAAAACATATTCCCAAGTATCAGTATCTTTTTTTATTTACTTGATCTAGATAAGCTAACTAAAATATGGGAATAATCTATAAATAGATGTAGCAAGTTAATAAATAATTAATATTATTGAAATAACTACAAACTAGGTACTGTT